TTTATCAGAGTGAGCTGAGCTCATGGCGTAGATCTATGGTTTGGACCCTGAACGTAAAGCCGTAGATCTACGGGACGGACCCTGAAAGGATTAAGGGTTAAAAAAAAAAAATCACTCTGGGGTGCTTTAAATGTCGTATATTATGTTGTTATAAACATTTTCATTAATCCATTTATGACGTTTTTCGAAATTATGTACATAATAAATATGCCACATATCACATAAACAAAATAGTCATACCGTGCTTTACGTCATTTCGGCTTGCGTCAAATTCGCCTTTATGCTACTTTTCTAGAGTAAATTTCAGTTCTGTGAACATTTTTACATCTGACTTTGTGTCACTCAGCAACATGACCTACGTCATAATTAAAGGATGTGAAATAAATAAATTTTTCCTTTAAAATAATTTTTTTTTTAACTTCTGTCGTTTTCCACCAAGGCAGGGTGACCCAAAAAAGAAAAACCCAAAAAGAAAGGAAAAAAAAACAACAACTCATCATTCAACACTTTCACCATCACTCATACATAATCACTGTTTTTGCAGAGGAGCTCAGATATGACAGTTTAGAAATCCCTCTAAACTGCCAATATCCCAGACCCCTCTGGCTATATAAAAATAACCAGTTTCTCTGAATCCCTTCACAAAATATTACTCTGCTCACACTCCATCAGCTTGTCAGGTCCCAAAAATCATTCGTCTCCATTCACTACTATCTAACACACTTACGCATGCTTGCTGGAAGTCCAACCCCTCTCCCACAAAACCTCCTTTACCCCCTCCCTCCAACCTTTTCGAGGACGACCCCTACCCCGCCTTCCTTACCCTACAGATTTATACGTTCTCCAGTTCATTCTACTGTGTTCCATTCTCTCTAAATGACCAAACCACCTCAATAACCCCTCTTCAGCCCTCTAATACTTTTAGTAACTCCACATCTCCTAATTTCCACACTCTGAATTCTCTGCATAATATTTACACCATACATTGCCCTTAGGCAGGACATCTCCACTGCCTCCTCGCTGCAGCATTTATGACCCAAGCTTCACACCCATATGAGTGTTGGTGCCACTATACTTTCATACATTCCTATCTTTGCCTCCACTGATAATGTTTTTTGTCTCCACAGATACCTCAATGCACCACTCACCTTTTTTCCTTCATCAGTTCTATGGTTAACCTTATTCTTCATACATCCATCTGCTGACAAGTCATCTCCCATATATCTGAAGACATTCATTTCTTCCATACTTGCTCTCCCTTTAAAATATATTTAACCCCTTGACTGTCGCAACCCCAAATCCTGAGGTGTCTCCTGGCGTCTCAAAATTTCTGAAAAAAAAAAATTAGTTCTTCTTATGAAATGATAGAGAATCTTTTCTTGATTGTAATGGCACCAAAAGAACAAAATTTGATGGAAAATTTATGGAATTACGCTCTCGCGAAGTTAGCGACCTCGGCGATATTTACGAATCCGCAATTTTGCCCACTTTGAGCCCTATTTTGGGCTATTCCATTTTTCCCCAGTGCCCCAAATGTGCTATTTCTTTAGAATCCATTTGTTCTATCGATTGAGTACAAGAAACTGCCCATTTACTGATTTCAACTACCCAAGAACGTGGTCAAAAATTTGCAATTTGGCCAATTTCACGCAAATTAAAAAAAAATGCTAATTTCAGAATAGGGTCCAAAATAGAAATGCAAAATTTCCTGGCTCTAAAATAACATTTTCTTTGTTAATCGTACATTTCAGGCCCCTTGATTTACTCTTGCTTTATATTTTAAATTTTTTTATTCAAAAAAATAGTTTAGACTACTGCATATTGTAATTTGTATAAAAAGTCAACCATTCTGACTCAATTAAAGGCTAGTTGGCATTTATTGGCATTGACATCATTTTTTTTACTTTTGAACATCGGAAAAAATCAAACATTTCCCCAATTGAGCTCCTTTCAAGGTTCTTTTCATAAAAAAAACCAATCAAAACACTCTTTTTCTCTAATATTTTTTCCATTTTCAAATGAGACCAAGAAAATGAGAATACAACCATAAATTACTATACGAAAATCACCAAAAAAGTGGGTTTTAAACCGAAAAAAAAAGGTCCTTTTTTTTTTTCGTTTTGGCACTGATTGCGCAGGATTTTTTTATATGGGCACACTGACCCCCACGACCCATTTTTCACTGGGGCCCCCAGCTTTTCCTGTTGTTTGAAGTGTAGAAATTTGAGTTATTAGTCAAACACTGTGGTGTAAGATGATATCGGCCGAAAAAGTCAAAGGGTTAAAGTAAATAAAACACATGAAAGTATTTTCTTTTTGGGGATTCTCTCTCTTTTTGGGTCGCCCTGCCTTGGTGGGAGACGGCCGACTTGTTAAAAAAAAAATAATTAAAGAAGCTAAAAACAATTTAAAATGCAATAAAAATACATTAAGAACATAAAAATGTATACACATACGTAGTTCCACCATCTTGCCACATGACGGCGTTGCTGCTGGTTCTCATTCAAAATGAGGGTGATGCCATTTGCATTTTTTCCCATGCTGCAATCATGTGATGCTTTGCCTGTTGCTGTTATTTTTTGTGATTATTCCCTTACTGTGTCTGTGTTAGCCATGGGTCCTAAGAAGGATAGTTCTGGTGATTCCAAGTGTAATGTGGTTAAGATGGAAGAAAAGTTAAATACGATTAAAGGCATTCTTTAATGTAATAATGTTGGTAGAATTACCGACAATATGTAAAGTAAAAGGACACAAGTGCAACTAATGTGACATTTTTATTGTGGCAACATTTCACTCTTCAGGAGCTATGTCAACCTTGACAAAGCTCCTGGAGAGCAAAACGTTGCCACAATAAAAATGTGACAGTAGTTGCACTTGTGTCCTTTTACTTTACATTCTTTAATGCCTTAATGAGATTTATATTATTTCGCGTGTTTACACTAATTGGATGTTGTTTTTTGTCATGCCTAAGATATTTTTAAGGGCAAATCACAAGGTAAATACATAATTTTTTAAATGTGCTTATTATTCTTTAACCCGCAAACGGTCCCAACGTATGTACGTATACGTTTTTACCACTAGTGCCCCAAACGTATATACATATATGTTTTATTTGTCATACATTTAACATTGCCACGATAAGCCTGAGTCACCTAGACATGAGAGAATGGGTGTGTGCACTCACTGTGTGCCATATTAAAATAACTGGGGATGCCTATTAAAAAAAAAAAGTTTTTTTTCTCAAAAAAGTTGGGGCACTACGGTAGAGAACATATATATACGTTTGGACCGTTTATGGGTTAAAATACAGGTACCATCTGACTTACGAATGAGTTCGGTTCCGACGGACCGGTTGGAAGTCGAAATGGACGTAAGTCGAACTTCACTACTGAATATCAACATCACATTTTTGTAATGACTTTATTTTATTGTTTTATTTTGGTATTTCATCTTTTATTTTACTTCTTATACTGTTAGTACTGTATTTTATACTGTAAGGTTTAGGATAAACACTGTGTTCAACACAAACAGTTGTTTATTTCCCAGAAATTTGGCATAGAAAACACGGTCGTAAATCGAATGGCCCTATGTCAAGCAGGTCGTAAGTCGGATGGTAGGTGTATATGACTAAAATGTGTTTCGAGTGTTCTTTAAGGTTTAGTGATAGCTATATTCTTTCATGAAGTACTTATGCTAGTTTTACGGTGTTTGTCATCATTTTAGGAGTTTTTAGAGCATTACAGTACATCCAATTTACATTAAAAACTGGGTTACATCACAGCTCTTGGAACCAGTTAATGATGTAGGGTGGGGTATGACTGTACAGTATATACAATCATAGTAAGGCAAACATAATTGTGAGGTGTGGTAGCTGGGCGGGCTACCACACCTGACTTGCTACAATAAATACCTCTCGCCCTACATTAAGATAACAAATATTTTAAGGTAAGTAATGAGTGTATTGTATGTGCATTTTACTTTATTGTTTTTTCATGCCTAGTTCTGTTGCTAACTTAATACTGTATGTATATGATAATGTAAACATGTTATCAGGCATTTACATGAATTTAAAATTGAAAGAAAGGTGATTTGCTTTTCGGCGGTAGCCTGGAACCTAACCCGCTGTATAAGCAGGGCTCTCCTGTATTAGATCTGGATGAGTGGAGACAAGTGGTCTTAAGGATTTGGTGTGCTGTTATAGTGCAAGATAACATTTATGTAGGAATTCAAGTCTGGTTAACCAGACTTGAATTCTGAAGATAGGAAGTACAGTGCCTACACTCTGAAGGTGGGGTGGGGATGTTACAGTTCAGAGAGTCATTTGAAGTGTGATGTCTTCACTTCTGCCAAGACAAGTATTGAATAAATGATTGTAAATTGTTTCCTCTTTTATGGGGAGGGGGTCACTTTACCATGGAGGGAGGCAGCCAGTGTGATAAAAAAAAAAAAAACTTAAAACCAATTTCTGTTATCGTTTGGTAAGATTTTTTAACCTTTGAATACAGATACAATTGATAAATTGCATAAAGTAGAGAGAGGCATGAATTGTACTTAAGTGTATTGAAAGATGAAATTACAAATAAACTTTGTACAGATAAATGGTTAAATTGAAGCACAGGTTTCAAAAAATTTTTTTGACTAGTATCATATCAGTGTGTTGATATATAAGCTGTGTTAATATGCTTTATTATACTGTAATTTAGTTTACAATAATTCAGTGACTCCTTCCCCCTTTTTTTTTTTACACCAAATTGTCATGATGAACATTGGTTTCAGTATAAATTACATTGATGTGTATAAGAATTCCTTTAATGTTGTTTAGCATAAACAGCTGAATGTTGTTATTGCATGAACTAGGATAACAATAGATAAATACTGTATACAAAATCAGTAAGTCTCATACTTAGCGAGTGGATACAGGCATGTTTGTCTGTATTTAAAGCATGCACTATGTAATAAATTGTGTATGTATTTATATATAATTCTTTATTTTTTATAAGGAGATCAAAGATGAGTTATTGGATGAACCAGTTATGAAAAAACCAAGATGGAATGTGTTGGCCGACAACTTCTACAAGGAACCTACATTGCAAGGCTGGGACCAGCAGAGTGATGAAGATTAATGAACAACAGTCCCGGATGACATACAAAATTGTATTAACGTGATTGGGTGAATCATAGCTAAGTAAATTTTAGTGTGTTTACATGATAGTGTTTAGCACACTGGCCTGCGATTTCAAGACTGGCTTGCCAAGTGGTGGAACCTCTCTCATTCTATGAGAACAGTGCTGGATGTTTTGGAAAACTGTTTTTATTACTCTTGAACATTATAAATACATTAATGTGTATATTTTTCTTTTCTCTAACCTACATGGGCAAGGAAAATGGCAAATTGCTCTACTTAAAACTATGATAACATAATATACACAAATCTTTCCATTTCATTTTTTTTTTTTTTTAACAAGTCGGCCATCTCCCACTGAGGCAGGGTGACCCAAAAAGAAGGAAAATCCCCAAAAAGAAAATACGTTCATCATCATTCAACTCTTTCACCTCACTCACACATAATCACTGTTTTTGCAGAGGTGCTCAGAACACAATGGCTTAGAAGCATATACGTATAAAGATACACAACATATCCCTCCAAACCGTCAATATTCCGAATTCCTCCTTTAGAGTGCAGGTATTGTACTTCCCATTTCCAGGACTCAAGTCCGGCTATATAAAAATAACCGGTTTCCCTGAATCCCTTCACTAAATATTACCCTGCTCACACTCCAACAGATCGTCAGGTCCCAAATACCATTCGTCTCCATTCACTCGTATCGAACACGCTTACACACGCCTGCTGGAAATCCAAGCCCCTCGCTCACAAAACCTCCCTTACCCCTTCCTTCCAACCTTTTTGAGGATGACCCTCCCCGCCTTCCTTCCCCTACAGATTTAAATGCTCTCCTGTCATTCTACTTTGATCCCTTCTCTTAAATGACCACACCACCTCAACAACCCCTCTTCAGCCCTCTGACTAATACTTTTATTAACTCCACACCTCCTCCTAAAATTTCCACACTCCGAATTTTCTGCATTTAAAATTTACATCGCACATTGCCCTTAGGGCAGGACATCTCCACTGCCTCCAACCGCCTCCTCGTGCTGTATTTACCACCCAAGCTTCACACCCATATAAAGTGTTGGTACTACTATACTTTCATACATTCCCTTCTTTGCCTCCATAGATAATGTTTTTGTCTCCGCATATACCTCAACGCACCACTCGCCTTTTTTCCCTCATCAAATTTTATGGTTAAAAAAACCTCATCCTTCATAAATCCCTCGCCGACACGTCAACTCCCAAGTATCTGAAAACATTCACTTCTTCCATACTCCTCCTCCCCAATTTGATATCCAATTTTTCTTTATCTAAATCATTTGATACCCTCATCACCTTACTCTTTTCTATGTTCACTTTCAACTTTTTGCCTTTACACACTCCCAAACTCGTCCACTAAACTTTGCAATTCTTCTTTAGAGTCTCCCATAAGCACAGTATCATCAGCAAAAAGCAACTGTGTAAATTCCCATTTTGTATTTGATTCCCCATAATTTAATCCCACCCCTCTCCTGAACACCCTAGCATTTACTTATTTTACAACCCCATCTATAAATGTATTAAACAACCATGGTGACATTACACATCCCTGTCTAAGACCTACTTTTACCGGGAAGTAGTCTCCCTCTCTTCTACACACCCTAACCTGATCCTCACTATCCTCATAAAAACTCTTTACAGCATTTAGTAACTTACCACCTATTCCATGTACTTGCAACATCTGCCACATTGCTCCCCTATCCACTCTATCATATACACATACACAATATGCCTTTTCTAAATACATAAATGCAATAAAAACTTCCCTACCTTTATCTAAATACTGTTCACATAGTATATGCTTCAATGTAAACACTTGATCTACACATCCCCTACCTACTCTAAAACCTCCTTGCTCATCTGCAATCCTACATTCTGTCTTACCTCTAATTCTTTCAATTATAACCCTAACATACACTTTTCCTGGTATACTCGGTAAACTTATTCCTCTATAATTTTTATAATCTCTTTTGTCCCCCTTCCCTTTATATAAAGGGACTATACATGCTCTCTGCCAATCTCTAGGTACCTTCCCCTCTTACATATATATATTTTTTTTTTCAACAAGTCGGCCATCTCCCACCGAGGCAGGGTGACCCAAAAAAGAAAGAAAATCCCCAAAAAGAAAATACTTTCATCATCATTCAACAATTTCACCACACTCACACATTATCACTGCTTTTGCAGAGGCGCTCAGAATACAACAGTTTAGAAGCATATACATATAGATACACAACATATCCCTCCAAACTGCCAACATCCCAAACCCCTCCTTTAAAGTGCAGGCATTGTACTTCCCATTTCCAGGACTCAAGTCCAACTATATGAAAATAATCGGTTTCCCTGAATTTTTTTTTTTTTTTTTTTTTTCAACAAGTCGGCCGTCTCCCACCGAGGCAGGGTGACCCAAAAAAGAAAGAAAATCCCCAAAAAGAAAATACTTTCATCATCATTCAACACTTTCACCACACTCGCACATTATCACTGTTTTTGCAGAGGTGCTCAGAATACAACAGTCTAGAAGCATAAACATATAAAGATACACAACATATCCCTCCAAACTGCCAATATCCCAAACCCCTCCTTTAAAGTGCAGGCATTGTACTTCCCATTTCCAGGACTCAAGTCCGACTATATGAAAATAACCGGTTTCCCTGAATCCCTTCACTAAATATTACCCTGCTCACACTCCAACAGATCGTCAGGTCCCAAGTACCATTCGTCTCCATTCACTCCTATCTAACACGCTCATGCACGCTTGCTGGAAGTCCAAGCCCTTACCCACAAAACCTCCTTTACCCCCTCTCCAACCCTTTCGAGGACGACCCCTCCCCCGCCTTCCTTCCCCTATAGATTTATATGCTTTCCATGTCATTCTACTGTGATCCATTCTCTCTAAATGACCAAACCACCTCAACAACCCCTCTTCTGCCCTCTGACTAATACTTTTATTAACTCCACACCTTCTCCTAATTTCCACACTCCGAATTTTCTGCATAATATTTACACCACACATTGCCCTTAAACAGGACATCTCCGCTGCCTCCAACCGTCTCCTCGCTGCTGCATTTACCACCAAGCTTCACACCCATATAAGAGTGTTGGTACTACTATACTTTCATACATTCCCTTCTTTGCCTCCATAGATAACGTTTTTTGACTCCACATATACCTCAACGCACCACTCACCTTTTTTCCCTCATCAATTCTATGATTAACTCATCCTTCATAAATCCATCCGCCGACACGTCAACTCCCAAGTATCTGAAAACATTCACTTCTTCCATACTCCTCCTCCCCAATTTGATATCCAATTTTTCTTTATCTAAATCATTTGACACCCTCATCACCTTACTCTTTTCTATGTTCACTTTCAACTTTCTACCTTTACACACATTCCCAAACTCATCCACTAACCTTTGCAATTTTTCTTTAGAATCTCCCATAAGCACAGTATCATCAGCAAAAAGTAACTGTGTCAATTCCCATTTTGAATTTGATTCCCCATAATTTAATCCCACCCCTCTCCCAAACACCCTAGCATTTACTTCCTTTACAACCCCATCTATAAATATATTAAACAACATGGTGACATTACACATCCCTGTCTAAGACCTACTTTTACCGGGAAGTAGTCTCCCTCTCTTCTACACACCCTAACCTGAGCCTCACTATCCTCATAAAAACTCTTTACAGCATTTAATAACTTACCACCTATTCCATATACTTGCAACATCTGCCACATTGCTCCTCTATCCACTCTATCATATGCCTTTTCTAAATCCATAAATGCAATAAAAACTTCCCTATCTTTATCTAAATACTGTTCACATATATGCTTCAATGTAAACACTTGATCTACACATCCCCTACCCACTCTGAAGCCTCCTTGCTCATCCGCAATCCTACATTCTGTCTTACCTCTAATTCTTTCAATTATAACCCTACCGTATACTTTTCCTGGTATACTCAGTAAACTTATTCCTCTATAATTTTTACAATCTCTTTTGTCCCCCTTCCCTTTATATAAAGGGACTATACATGCTCTCCGCCAATCCCTAGGTACCTTCCCCTCTTTCATACATTTATTAAACAAAAGTACCAACCACTCCAACACTATATCCCCCCTGCTTTTAACATTTCTGTCATGATCCCATCAGTTCCAGCTGCTTTACCCCCTTTCATTCTACGTAATGCTTCACGCACCTCCCCCACACTCACATCCTGTTCTTCTTCACTCCTAAAACATGGTATACCTCCCTGTCCAGTGCATGAAATTACCGCCTCCCTTTCTTCGTCGACATTTAAAAGTTCCTCAAAATATTCTTGCCATCTACCCAAAACCTCCCTCTCCCCATCTACAACTCCCCTACTCTGTTTTTAACTGACAAATCCATTTGTTCCCTAGGCTTTCTTAACTTGTTTAACTCACTCCAAAATTTTTTCTTATTTTCATTAAAATTTCTTGACAGCGCCTCTCCCACTCTATCATCTGCTCTCCTTTTGCACTCTCTCACCACTCTCTTCACCTTTCTTTTACTCTCCATATACTCTGCTCTTCTTATAACACTTCTGCTTTGTAAAAACCTCTCAAACTTCCTCCTCCCTTAGTTTCTGCACTCTCACCTCTCTCTTACTTGTTGTTGCCATTTTTCTCATTTCCCATCAACTTCTTGCTCTAACTGCAGCTACAACTAAATAATGATCCGATGTGTCAGTTGCCCCTCTATAAACGTGTACATCCTGGAGCCTACCCATCAACCTTTTATCCACCAATACATAATCTAACAAAGTACTTTCATTACTTGCTATATCATACCTTGTATATTTATTTATCCTCCTCTTCATAAAATATGTATTACTTATTACTAAACCTTTTTCTACACAGCTCAATTAAAGGCTCCCCATTTTCATTTACCCCTGGCACCCCGAATTTACCTGCTACTCCCTCCACAACATTTTTGCCCACTTTAGCATTGAAATCCCCAACCACCATTACTCTCACACTTGGTTCAAAACTCCCCACGCATTCACTCAACATTTCCCAAAATCTCTCTCTCTCCTCTACACTTCTCTCTTCTCCAGATGCATATACACTTACTATAACCCACTTTTCACATACAACCTTTATTTTACTCCACATAATCCTTGAATTAATACATTTATAGTCCCTCTTTTCCTGCCATAACTTATCCTTCAAC